AATCCTTGTTTGATGAAGTAATTATAAGTGTTAAATATTAAATTTTTCCCTAAAAATAGTTTGGAAATTACTTTGAGCGAATAATGCTCAATGTTTAGTCTGTATCATTTATAATTTCATTTGTTTATTAAATAATTTGGCGTCATCATTGTGTTGTTGAAATAAACGTTCTCAATCAGATTCGCTTCGTAGAAGTTCACGGTACTTGCAGTGGTTGCTCTGACGTCAAGCTGTGTTTACATAATCTTTGTTTCGGTTACCGAATTTATAAACAGATCATATTCATATACACCACGTTTTCCTAAGAGTTCTGCTATTCTAATTATATAGGGCTTACCCATACTCATCTTTGATTTTTTTTAATGAGCTACACCATAGAAGATATTGAGGGGATGGAGGGTCATGGCCCATTCTCTTCAACCATCCCTAAGGAAGGCTCGAGCACCTGTAATGGGTACGTAAAAACAAAGAAGTGAAAGAATTATATAATTAGTTTCACTAAAAACTAAAAAGAATAAAACAAGCCCAGTAGTTTGGAATGTTATTAAGTACTACTGAATAACTGCTCCATTAATAATGAAATAGTTTAAAATCAATAGACACATAAAACATGTAAATTCAAAAGCAGAATAGAAGGATCAACAATCAGGACCCGTTCGTTTTTGACCAATCAACGGAGCCCCATATAATTTGGGCTCATTCTATTCAAAGCTACATATCAAGGTCAAGCACCTTTAGCAAGTTTTCGCGAACTTAAGTCAACCACAGTTCAGTCCAAAGTAGTTCTTGGCACTTAAAATCTTAATAATTTGCGAACAGCTCACTATATCTGAAAACGGTGTTCGCATACTTCTAGTATTTTTAAAAGACCTATCCAACAATATCCCACCCTACCGGGGATAGGAATAGGGATATCGAAAAAATAAAAAATCAACCACTCCACGTGTAGGGGAGGCGTTATTTTCTAGTACTTATAGTTTTTGATCTAGATCGCGAACAGACGGACATGGCAAAACTACAATGGGTTCCTTGTAGGGACTACAGAACTTTAAAAAAGACTAAAGTAATCATTTTTTTAAATAAGGGTTGGGCGATTTTGTTTTTCATTTAAAAAAATGGCGTCTGGTAGTTGCTATGGTGTATTTTGATTACTGTTATGTGTTTAGTGATACTCGCAAGGTTAAGACAAATCTTGATGTTTTCAAAACTCAATAAACAACCCATAGTCTATTTGTACTTTTTCCTATTTGTATTGAAGTTTAATAGCGAACTTTAATTTCAGTTTTATAATATGTTAGTTAAAAGGAACGGAAATGACTGTCTTTGGTCCATTCGTTTCCTGCAAAAATTAACTGTTGCTAGAGTCCCTATCAAGTGGAGGTGCTTTCGTTTTTTTTTAAATACTTCCTCATTACTATGAAAGCCGAACCACTTTTTACCATACTGCGCGACTCAGTCTAGAAAGGTAATATGTTTATTACCCGACTGCGCGACGCAAAAGAGGGTAATGTGTTTATCAGTCTATGTATGTATGTATGTTTGTTTCTATGTGGCGTTCTAGAGACCAAATGCGTAGGCCGATTTTAATGATTCTTAAGTCAATTGATTCTTCTTAACCTTGCGAGTGTCACTAAAGACATAACAGTAATCATAATTCACCACCGCGACAACTAGACGCCATATTGTCAAAATGAAAAAAATAAAAATCGATGAACTTTGTCAAGTGGGGTGTCGTTAAATAGGTAATTTAAATTCATGTTTAGGTTCCTTTTATCACTTTTAATTTTAAATAATAGTTTGGGATATATAACGATTTAAAGTTGTTTAACAAAACATTATCAGTAATTTTCTTACTTATTGATTTAAGTTTTTATTTAAAGTATAAACGATATACAAACAAAAAAAAAAACAGTGAAAAATCATGATGAACAAATATTTTTGGTAAAAAAATAAAACATATGTAGCTTTGAGCCGAGTTAGGTCTCTAGAGGGACTAATTATCAGTAGTTTACCACCGCAAGTTACTTAATAATCCCCAATATATTAACTCCATCAATGAAATAACTTGATTGCGAAATTTACCATCTTATAACGAAGTCAACGAATCGTAACTAAAAAGTATAAAATAAAAATAAATAATTTAATGAAAAACAAAAATCCCGACTGCGTAAAAACGAATTTTAAAAAATACATGAAAGAATTAACTTAAATAAAAACTAAAAAGAAAGAAACAAGCCCAGTACTTTAGAATTCTGTTAAGTAATACAGAACAGAACGACTCATAGTCGGGGCCCATTCAAATTTTACCAATCAAATCTTCCCATTCAAATTATACCAATCAAATCTTCCCAAGGGGCTCCGAGTATAGTTGAGTTGTTAATATTGCGCTGAAAGTAAACAGGTATATTTTCTTTGCTATATACGCGAAAAATGTGAAAAATGAAAATTTCCATGATAAAAATCTTCAAATAAGACCACTAGTAAAAAAATACTTTTTTTAGATTCCTTAGAATCTAATTAAAAAAAAAACTAGTGAAATTGAAGAAACCGATATTTTAGCATCTTTAAGCAGGATACAATATCTTGTGTTGTCATTTAGATGAAACTAACTGAAATAAATATAAAATAAAGAATGTCATGTACTTGAAAAATTATTCAAGGGACTAGTTAGTATATTTCTTTGAGATAAAAACAGCAGCATTTCACATATTTAAAATATCAGACAACCGAAGTTAGAATCGACTGCTTTATTAAAACAGTTTCTATAATGATGTGTTGGGAATTGGTTTTTACCTTATGGCACAGTTAAGTAGACACAATGTATCCATTTTTTAAATTATATATTTTTTATTATAATCTAAAAAACAATCGTTCAATCACTATTTCAGGCGATAAATTGGCAACATTTCACTACTTGAGCAATAGGTGGATAACTGTATTGCCGACACCCTTATATTGCATTGATCATTACTTTCCAAATGTAACTTATATATACTTACGTATGAAATTATATTCTAACTTGCTGATTCCCGAGACTTTACCTGCTTAAATTAATGCCTATGTCACCCGCGTATGATGAAGTTTCCCGTAGGTGAAAGAAATTAAATCAGTCCAGTACTTTTTAAAGAAAATAAACAAAACTTTCCTCTTTATAATATTAGTATAAATGATCAATACTTCCTTGTAACTTTGCGCAGAGGCAATATCGTAATCAATGAGGTTAATCCGAGGTGCGATCATTGCTAGTTGAAAACATTACTTCCTTGTAGAATCAATCAGTCACAGTGAGTGAAGTATATACGGATTTAACTAGTGATGTAATTATGTATATTTATCAATTCGATGTTAAAACGGTCTCTAAACTCTGCAGCTGCGCTAATTTTAACGGAGGGCGTGGCTTGCTCTTGCGCATGCAGTCGATGACGTCAGTAGCGGACTACAGCAAATGACTTTACTATACTCAGTTCAGTCAGTTTATTGATGTCTAAGGGCGAGGCCCCATCAGTGTGTTGTGCTGCGTTGCGGCAATTTATATTTATAACTAAAAATTACTCTTACTCTAACGATAGAACTAATCGCTTATATTAAGTATTCGATGGCAATTGGACTCGTTTACTTGTTACAAATACGTCGGTTTACTTGTAGCAACCACATCCTTGACTGTTTACTAGGGTGTCCCGATATTTTTTATTTATTTAAATATATTTCCGTATAACCGTTATGGCATATTTTTGGACTATGCAGTTCCTTTACGATGTAAATTCCAGTGTTCTCTAATTTTGCCAAGTCTTAAAATGTTCCCGACTTTCAGAGATAGTGTGGGTCAATGGTGTACATTCACCGGGTTTCACATTTCACAATTATTTGAATAGTATCTGCAGTGTTAATTAATTTCATGTAAATTTACAAATTCCCAAGCGGCAACATATCTCGCAACCACCACCAACTTTTTATTGTTAGCCAACAACTCCTAAGGATGTATCATTAAGGGGTGAATCCTGTGTAAAGTGGTAGTTGATGGTTGTTTACCGCTTGTGCACTTGTTTAAGCATAGGATCGCATTTCAGGGGGGTGGGAGGATGTCCACCAAACATTTACAAGTAAATTTTTTGGGGTCAATTTTCGCTTGGGCCAGGATTTGGCTGGCATGCCAGGGTCCAACCATTGTGATGAGCGCTTCTAAATATAGTAGAGAATCTACTTTTCATCATAGGTAATGATTCGATTCAAAAATCCTTCCTTATTGTGCTGGTTACAGTAACGCAGTAGTCGAAGCGCGTTTGCTTCACTCAATCCGTGAGGTACGCACCTTTCAAGCGTGGTATGCGGCGGTTCCGCTTCCACAATAACCTTTAAATCTTCATTATTAACTTGGGTCTCCGGCCTTCCACGGGGCTTTGTTCTGCAGGTCGAAATTTCTAGATCAAAAACATGGGAATCAAAAACGCACTGTGTTTTTTTTGCGACACAATTGTCATACACATCGTTAACCCTTCGAGCCGTTCCCGCAGCACTGGTACCACGGTGGAACTCGTACTCGTAAATAACACGATATTTCAAGCTTTTCATTTTTTATACTGGTTGACGTAAATAGGACAAACAGAAGAGAAAATAACAAATGAATGCCGCCTAACGAAACACAAATACATACATGTGTAAATTCGAATTTGGAATTCTCAAGCTAGGAGGAGATATTGTGATTAAAGTGGCCAGTACGACAAAACGTCAATTTCATAATAAGGACTAAATCTAATTGGCGTCGCCATAGTTTGCTCTTTTATATATTGAAAGTTTGTGCCATTAATTTTCAATCTTTGCCGACTTATTATAAAACTGGGGTTAACTTTAGTACCAGATTTAATCTAAGTTCTCTCAATTTAACGTTCTCTTTTGTCATTGTCAATTTGCTTTGGGTGACCAGTAGTCTAAACCAAGTACTAACTTTAGTCTTTGTTTTATAATAAGTAGAGGTTTAGTTTCAGAAGTTTTTTTTTTCTCAGGCATTGTGAACCGAGGTGATTCGTTTCGACGGCGGAGGTCGAGATCGGGCAGCTTGGCGCCGTCCTCACCCGCTCAGTCAGCCCCTGAGCCTCAGGAGCGTAGGCCGGTAGCCTGCCACAGGGTAGCCATGGTCGGTGCGCCGGGAGTAGGCAAGACTGCACTCATTAGCCAGTTTCAGACCAGCGAATGTATCAACGCTTACGACAGACAAAGAGGTGAGTCAAATTTAATTAAGAACATTAAAATAGACCTTAACCTTAGACCTTAAATTATGATGCGTCCTCTACATTTGGATTTTTAATAGCAGTAATTGGGGCAATGTTACTGGAACGCACCTTTATCCATTAATGTGTGCGGCCTGTATGAATAATGGACATAGTGCTATACCTTTTTTATACAAAGCTATGGAAGAAAAGTAATAAACGTCCTTTATAGAGATAAGACATACCTTAGACCGTTTTGCGATATGTCAATTAAGTGATTTATGGTATCTTTAGTGAAACACATTTGGTATTGATTGTACCTTGATTCTTGCCATTTCTTTGAAGGTTGATAATATAACAATAAATTAAAGTATAATAATAAAGATACTTATTTATAAAGAACAATGGCGAACTCCCATATAGCTTTGGACCTGAATTTTTAAAGTCGCGTTCATCAATGAAATAAACGTGTACTTGAAGGTATAAGCTAAACTAACAAAATCCTAATCGTCTTTTTCCTTTAAAAGTTGGGATTAAAGAGATATGGCATAAAATACTTTGTGAGGTTATATATTGCATCTTTGCTTTTTCGTTGAATGGACGTTAAAATGAATAAAAATGGTAACCAGGTTACTCCGTTTAATAAACTAGATTAAAATAATTACATATCTAACAATATCCAGACATTTATAATAGAAGAAACATTTATAACATATGACTAAACTGTGTGGAGTAGATCCCTTTGCCTTTAATTAAATCATTACAACTGAAAGTGACAAACAAGGGCAATGTACACATTGAACTGTCATTGTTATAACCGAATCAATTGCCATTCGGAATCCAAAAGTAATGCAAATATCAACGTTAGTCGAAGAAACATGCTTAATTGTCAAGTTGAATATTAACATAAATGTCAAACTCCACGAACGAACACACAAAAAACAAACCAAACCAATCATCCGCTATCATTCCACCATCATCATCTTAGAACATTCATAGATGAAAACAAACATGTCAAAATAAAATCAACCAATCGATTATTTAGAACAAAATAATCGATACGTTAACCTTTCATCGGTTCAACTACAGAACTGGCAATAATCTTCTTAAATCGGTTGTGGTATCTTAGCTTTCAATTTTTTTATTTCTCAAGTATTCAATACGTAATTTGAACGAATAAAATAAATATTTATGAAAGTATTCAAAGACCGTATTTCATATAATATATTATATATAGATTTTATATTGAATATATATTTGACGTTCATTCGCTCAGTCGGTACACGTCATTACATCACATATCTCACTAATTATTAGCAGTAAATGGCGACAGATAATATTCTATAGAACATGTTTGAAAAACTCGCGATTAATTAAGAATCGCTTCTGACATCGTTTATGTATGTGATCGATTTTTCAAAAACCATCCAAAGTACAACCCTTTGATATATTGTCTGGTTTTCAATTAAAGAGAACGGAATGAATTCTATACAATTTTATTTTGACTTTATATTCGATTATTAAGCGTTTTGATGGTACTTTAAAGGTAATTAAATTAATTGCAATGTACAGGAAACGATAATATCCATTAAAATAGATGACCCTTTTCAAGGACAAAAGTCATGAAACACTTCCAAGGTATAGTTTTATTATTAAAGTACTTCTGCGTAAACCAGAACGTTTCTTAAAAAGATTTTCGCGTTTTGTTTTTGCACTATCATCAGACGTTTTGTTATCTTGATAATTATTAGCAGCATTTAACATTTTAGTTTGGTTCCCCGACATTAAAATTCACCATTTTGTAGAAATAAAATCTATTAATCATATATTATTTATTTGTCATATTGCCATCCATGTACGGTTTTGTAAATTATGGGGTCCGATTTCGCCATTCTTCTTTACTCAAAATTTACATTAAGCATACTACTCGTAGTTTGATATAACAATATAATTATCCCAAGTAAAATGTAGAACTTAAGTTCGTAATAGCAAAACAGAATTGTTAACAGGCTATGTTCTCGTTAGCTGTAACGCTATTTGAAGGCTACATAGTCGCATATCGCCTTTGAGAATAATAAAGAGAAACATTGTTTAATTCAAATTACGAATTTACAACAGCTGTGTCATGTACTCTTTATAATATTAGCATAGATTAATCTAAAAATATACCAGATAGATATTTGATATACAATCGAAAGTACTTACCGAACCATGAGCACCTGGGACTGGAATCTCTACCAGCTGACACTATCCATAAATAGTTATTTATGTTGTTATAATCGCGAATAGCTACTTATATAAATAAATAAATAAAAAGCCAAATGATTCATAATGTCGTCGTAGCTTAGCGTAGAACTTTTGAAGTTGCAGATATATACAACCATATTTAAGTTTTAAAGATTCTTGAAAGTACAACAGGCACAGCTGTAGTAGTGATTTAGGGAAAATCAGTAGATAGAGGGAGATAGATAGATAAGAAAATGTACAATTAATGCGCTCAACCAGGCTGCTGAATACCAGGTCATAGAGTCATCATTCTGATATCCCGTGATCATGTCCAATTTTTCAAACGAACTTTTACATATTGTTTCAGTATCGTTTGTTGTATTGCTTGCGTCATTCTTAATGTACGAAATGTTTCTATATGTCTTTCACCCGCTGCTATAACATTAGAAATTTCACTTATACACAAAAAAATTATAAATTGTCTAAAGTTTAGGAAATTAAAGATCTTGGCGTAATACATGACTTGAAATTATTATTTGAGAGACATATAGACTCTATAGTTAAAAAAGCTTCTCGAGCCTGGGGTTTATCATCCGCAGTTCGGCTAACCTCGTAAACATAACTTAAAATATTATACTCCACCTTTGAGCGGAGCCACCTTGAATATCCATCTCAAATTTGTAATTCTCAATATCAAACTTACATAACTCGGATTGAGGAAATTCACAAAAGATTTCTTAGGTTCCTAGACTTTAAATCTGAAGAGTATTCTATTGACTATAACCATAGATGCAAAAATTATCATTTTCTACCGTTGAAGACAAGAAGAATGATTACTGATGTCTGTTACCTGTCTAATATCGCCTGCGGAAGGGTCGACTGTTCTGAATTACTATTGTATCTCTATTAAATTTTAAAACTAACCAGCTTCGATTAAGACAAAGGCCACTTCTATATCTTTTGACAGCCAGAATACGTTACAGAACGAACACTTTCGTGATACGAGCGTGCAATACATTTAATCGACTACCTTATAATGTGGACTTGTTTTGTTCTAGCACCACATATGTTAAAATTCAATACTTAGTCTTAGTTTCTTTGATGATAACAACGATCAATAGATGTGTTGTTTTTATTGCAGGAATGTTAAATGTTTGCATTTTACTTTTAGTGGACCTTTAGGTTTTTAACATTAATTTTCAACCTATGTGTAGAGATTTGTAATTAGCATCGGAATAATTTACTATATTATTGGAATATAACCTAATGTTAATATTTGTCTGTAAATCTTCCTAAAAAAAATCCATATGTTCCATATCAAAAGGGTTTTAGTAGCATAACTTTATTAAAAAAAGTTCATTCTCGTTATTTCCCGGGTAATAGTTTTATAAAAGCAATTCTTTTTAATTTAAATGGCATCGTGTCGTTCCAATTACATTGGGAAAACACGAGATAATTATAGCGTCACCGAATAGCGACTCGAAAGCTGCATGTTTAAAAAAATAAACGAGAAAAACCTTTGTGCTCAGCGTGCACGGCCATTTTGTTTGTGCCACCATTTTGTAATTATGATATTGCTCACGGATTGAACTAAGTAATGTTATTTTTAAACTTATTTAATGGATATCTTTTATTATAAGTGCTCGAGGAGTGCTTAGTGCGTTCTGTCTGCGATGCGGAAGTTAAGCAAGTTTCGTAAGGGCCAGTCATGAGATGGGCGACCAAAATTCTTTTACTTTAACTTCCTCCGTACTTTAGAAGGCAAATCAACTCAATGATCCCGGTTGTATCTGCTGTCGTTAACATCCTTCAATCCGCTTTGGATCCATGGAAGGAGTTAGTTTTCAATTCAACTATGTATATATAATAATTATTTATTTTTAATAATATTATTTTTACAATTCAGCATATTACAATAAGCATTTATGTAAAAGTTTTGGTCCTTATTAGTACACATGAAAATTTTAAAACTTAAAGCAGAGCTGATATTAATTACTCATCGTTTTAATTTGAAGCCCCAGAAATTTTGTTCAATCAAAGTCAATTTGTACACTCTTAAAAATATTCTCAATCAATTCGATTTGCTGAATTAGTATAACTTTGTAAAAGAGTTTTAAATCCTAGAGGAGGTGAACGGGTTGTCACAAGGAAAAAGTCAATAATTATTAAATGTATTAATATGATTATTATTTACTAACTGCCGATATTCTGCAGTTACTAGCCATATTTATAAAACGTTTTACTGATTTTAGCAATATATTCTTCTATAATGTTCATATTATAGAAACATTTATGTATATTCATTATACAACATCATATATATTGCTCAGATTCCAATAATAGTGTCTGAGATAGCGAAGGTACCTCAATATCCAGACTCTGGGTAATATAGAACAGTTCTTTATTTACATTGTCCCGACCAGCCATCGAACCCGCAACCTCCAAGATGGCGACACCTTGAAATAGTCGTGCGAACCACTCAGCTACGGAGGTTTAATAGTGATAAATCTTGTGATAATAGCTGTTTAGTTAGCTAATCGCACTGCAGCTTATTAATATATGTGTAAAAAGAGTAAATTTTTTGCTAAAAACAGTGAAAATGTCTGTTAATTTATAACAAAACAAAAATACGATTATTAATTATCCGGCAAATTACGTTTTTCACAGCCGGATTACTCAAAAAAAACGAAAATTATTTTAAACTAATTTATTACTACAGAGAAAAATATTATAAAGATAATTATAATTAATTTAAACTAAATGAACTTGACTTGATCGATGCTAGA